CCCGCCCCGCCCGCCCCGGACTTTCAGTGTCAGACGCTCAGGCCGCGCGTCATCAGAGGTCGGGTAAGTGACTTCAGACCCGCCAAGTAATTCACACCCGGCACCTTCCTCCCTGCGGCACCAATGGTACATTCCAACATCAATACAGGGCCCGGGAATTCTTTTTTCCTTCCTATTTGGCTGCTTTCTGACTTTTTAAAAATGTTCAACAACTTTATTGGAAGGGCGGGCCGGCTCTAAGCAGAGTGCGGCCTCGCGGGGAGGCGCTGAATACATTAGGGCAGCTCTTAGGAGCTTGTGGGGAAGGAGGCGTCGTGGAAAGATCAAAATATGAAAGCGCCCTTGCAAAAACAGGGATAAACTTCAGGAACTGGGGGCAGGGGAGCGTTTGGCGTGCGGTGCACATTTCACTGATGAAAAACCTTCGGCGTGTTTCCTTGCCAGGGGACGTTGTCATCTGGGGTTAAGCTGGGCGTAGCAGGATACGGCCTGGGGAGGACCGAGGGCAGGTGCTGGGCGGGGCAGCCAGACCCAGATCTTTCATAGAAAATGAGTTTGAATTAGTGTCTGGATGAATCAGGCAAAATAAACCCTCTCTCCAAAATGACTCAGCTACTATTTATACAAGAAAAATTTTAGAGCAAGCGAAGAGTGTGCTGGTAAAAATATTCAGGAAGGTGCGAGATTGGAACTTCTCTTAGGTGATTCAGAAAATGGTTTTCTTTACTTCACACGTTTTTTCTTTTTCACCCAGTTGAACAGTCTGAAGTTTGGTTGAATGTTTTTGGCAGAATGTTTTTCTGTTTTTTTTTGTGTGTGTGTGTGTTTTTTTTTTACGTTTTTGAAATGCATTCATGAGCAAGATTCACAGTATTTGCTGTGGAGGTTGCACAGAAAAATTGAGAGTCACCAACATTGAACAAATGGGAACCTTTGTGGAGTGGGGTTCTGCGCTTGTTCACCCCTGTGGACAGGGTTCCTCCATGCCCAGTTCCTGGGCGGTTTTTCACTAGGGTCCTTGTTTTCCTCTTCTGTTGAAATTCCCTCCAACCCTCTTTTTGGATACCCAAACTCCAACAATGAAAGTCCTGAATTATGAGAAAAAAATTCTAATAGTCTCTGTTCTCTCATATCAAATAAACTATATTATTACCTGTTTTGTGTTTGATTCAGAAAGTAGATTACTGTTTTCAAATGGCATAGCAAACATTGAGGTATATTAGGCATTTTATGAGTCCGTTGGCCTCAGTGAGGTTTTTTTTTTTTCCTACGTTTGTGTGTGTGTGTGTGTGTGTGTGTGTGTGAAGAACACTTTACATGACATCTACCCTCTTAACAAAATTGTAATTGTTTAGCAGAATATTCTTAACTACATGCACAGTGTTGTACCAATTCTTTAGGATCCTTTCATTTATTTAGTTAGTTGAGTATCCATAGAGACTGTTAAAAATTGCCAATGTTGACTATATTTCAAGTTGTCACTGAGGTGTTTTGGAAAAAGTTTTCAATTAGTAATAATTGCACCTCAGATAAACCCCACTGGCTATGATACTGCCACTGCCAAAGCTAGAACCTTTTATCTTGCATGACTGAAACTCTATACCCATTGAACAACTCCTCATTGTTCCACACCCACTTATTGCACATTTCTAACTCCAGCCCCTTTCTACTTTCTACTTTAATTATATAATAGGAATCTCCTTTCTCATATAATTGGAATCATGCAGTATTTGTCCTTTTATGATTAGCTTATTTCACTTAGCATAGCATCCTTGAAGTTTATCCATGTTGTAGCATATGACAATAATTTCTTTTTTTTAAGGCTGGATCCATTGTGGAATTACTGGAACATACGATAGTTTTACTTTCAGTTTTTAGGAACTTCCATATTGTATGGTATAGTGGCTGCACCATTCCACATTCCCACCATTTTTAAAATCAGTCTATTAGTTTTACTTCTGTTGAGTTGCAGGTGTTCATTATAAATTTGGGAGACTAACTCCTTATCAGATATGTGTTTTGCAAATATTTTTCCCCAATCTGTAGCTTGTCTTTTTATTCTGTTAAAATGTCATTTGCAGAGAAGAAGTTTTATTTTTATTTTAATGAAGTGCAACTTTAGTTTTCTTTTAATTTCATTGCTTATGATATTGATATTGTCTTTAAAAACTCATTGCTGACTCAAGGTTATATAGATTTCATTTATGTTTCTATCAGAAATTTATTGCTTATAATTTCACAATTAGGTCTATGATCCACCTTGAATTTGTGTGAGGTATAGATCTGTGTTTAGGTAAAATTTTTTGCAAATGGACTTCCATTTTTTTCCAGCAGCATTTGTTGAATATGACCATTATTACTCCACTGAATTGCACTTGCATCTTTATTAAAGGTCAATTGACTATATTTGTGTGTGTATATTGCTAGGTCCTCTATCTTTACCATTGATCTATATGTCTTTTTTCTTCCAAACCCATGCCATCTTTATTACCAGAGCTTTGTAACATCCCCAAATCAAGTACTATCAGTCCTTCAACATTGTTCTTTAATATTGTGTTAACTAATCTGGGTCCTTTTCATATAAACTTTAGAATAAGTTTGCTGCTATCTAAGATATTGCTTGCTGCTATTTGAACTGTGATTGCATTGAAGCTATAGATCAAGTTGTGAATAAATGATGTTTTTAACAATCACCTAGTAATTTGAGTAATCCAGGGGTGAGAGAAAACATCTTTGCATTTTTTAGACCTTAGGGGGGAAATGTAGAGTTTCTTACCAATAAGTATAATGTTAGCTATAGAGTTTTTATATAAATTCACTAGAGGCCTGGTGCATGAAATTCATGTGCGGGTACAGTCCCTAGGCCTGGCCTGCATTAAGGGCCATCTTTCCCAGCTACCCGCAGCTGGCCCTGCCCCCTGCCACCACCCACCCTGGTTCCCTGTAGGAACTTCCATATTGTATGGTATAGTGGCTGCACCATTCCACATTCCCACCATTTTTAAAATCAGTCTATTAGTTTTACTTCTGTTGAGTTGCAGGTGTTCCTTATAAATTTGGGAGACTAACTCCTTATCAGATATGTGTTTTGCAAATATTTTTCCCCATTCCATGGGTTGCCTTTTCATTCTGTTTCCTTTGCTGTGCAGAAACTTTTAAATTTGATGTAGTCCCACTTGTTTATTTTTATTTTGTTGCCTGCACTTTAGGTGTCATAGCCAGGAAGCCACTGCCAAGGCCAATGTCATGAAGCTTTCCCCCTATGTTTTCTTCTCAGAGTTTTACAGTTGTAGGCCTTACATTTATGTGTCTAATTCATTTTGAGCTGATTTATGCATATGGTGTAAAATAAGGGTGTAATTTCATTCTTTTGCATATGGTTATCTAGTTTTCCCAGCACCATTTGTTGAAGAGACAATCCTTTTTTCCATTGTGTATTTTTGCCACTCCTGTCAAAGATCAGTTGACAGTATATGTGTGAATGTACTCCTCTGCTCTTTATTCTGTTCCTTGGCCTCTGTTTTGATGTCTGTTTCTTCAGAAAGAGGTAACTAGAAATAGTTTAAGGAATAGATGGATGGTGAGGGCTAAACTCAAAGTTGAATATAAGCTCTTGTAAGGCTCAAGTTCGAAAGAAGGATATAGAATATAAAAATATCTGTATGTAATGCAGAATTAGCTTTGTGGATAAGCAACTATGCTAATTGTCATTTCAGTTGACTTTAGACTTCTTTCTACTGCCCCATTGCTAAATAATTTATTTACTGGGGTGCTGCAAATGAAAATTTTACAATTGTTGATAGCAAATTGGTAAGCTGTTGCTGCTACTTTCAGTTTATGGGGAAAAAAAAACACCCTGTAGTAACTAATAATACCAACAACAGACAGATTTAATATGTACTAGATCCTCTTCTAAGCACTTTACATATTTGCTTAGTTCTCATAAAGTCACCTGAGATAGATGCTATTATCATTCTTGGTTGAAGAGCTGAGAGAGCTTGCCCAAGTGGAAGCAACACGGAGCTGAACTATGTGAAATCAACACGGAGCTGAACTATGCTGCCAGACTGTCTGGGGCTGGAGTCTGTGCTCTACACCTGCCGGCAGTAAACTTTGTACAGGGCCGAGCAGTAAATACATCACTTTGTGGGCCTTATGGCCTCTGTAGCGACTACTGAATTCAGCCATTGTGGCATCCATAGATAATATACAAATGAATGGGTGTGGCTGTATTCCAACAACAATTTTGTATAAGGACACCAAAATTTGAATTTCATATAGTTTTCATATGTCATGAAACATTAGTCTTTATTTTTTTCTACTATTCAAATATGTAGTATTTTCCTTAGCCCTCTGGTACAAAACAGGAAGTGGGCCAGATTTGGCCCTTGGGTAGTAAAAAGCCCTCCAGGATTCTGGTTTTAAGATGAAGCTTGTGGGTAGCAGTGGCTGACTCACCCTGAGGAATGATGACTTCCCTGGGATAGGCTCCTGTGTGCAGAATGGCTTCTTCAGAGTCTTCCCCAGAAGACCAGAAGAACACTGTGAAACCTGGGCCTGTTGCCTCACCCTATGCAGTAACAATAGCCAGAGGGCAGGCACAATGACAAAGCTGACGCAAAGCCAGCTTTTAAACGTTTATCCAGGTGACATGGATATCTCTATCCCTGGAAGAAAGTTAATATAAAATACTATGTGTAGTAGTATCCATGCTGAACTTCCTTGCTCAGAGAAGTGGTGGAAGAAGTAGTCTAGCTACTGTAAGTAACTACAGTTGTTTCACCATTTCCTGCAGGTGAATTAATCACAGGTCTAACATCTCTGGTAGAAATGTGTAATGACATTTACCAGATTGAAGTCTCAACTTTTTTTTTAAAAAAACTCTAATGTGTATGTTACGCTAGTCTAATTGCGTGCAAAGTGTTTAACTGGTTCCTGTTGATAATAATAAAACATGAGCCACAGATGTCCAATAGAACTTTCTGCCGTACTGGAAATATTCCATATCTGTGTCATCTAAAACAGTAGTCACTAATTACATGTCTGTAGAGCACCTGAGGTGAGGAACTAAATTTTTAATAGAAATTTAAATAGCCACATGGCTACTGAATAGGTTCCTTCTGACCCATTCCTTCGCTTAGTGAAGCTTTTAGCTAGATGGATGATCAAGAGTAACCCGGAAGCAGATTTTGGAGAATATATGTGTGTGAATATGTATGTACATGTGAGTATATTATGTTTGTAGTTAATATATTAGAGTAATGGTTTGTCAAGTATCTAAGACTTTATATGGAAGAATCAATTTAACTATCTCCATCTAAAACATATTACCAGAAGAGCTATAGATATTTTATCTTCAATTACATTACATGCTTTAGAATTACTGTTCTATGAAACAATTTGTATCCATTTTATTAAAATGGATGGATAACTTTAAATTAGATCAAACTTTCTCAGAGAAAAAAGAAATACAGAGGAAGCTTTTCTCTTGGCAAATTAAAGAAATTTGGGGGGCACCTAATTCTTTAGGAAGCTGAAGCTATATAGAGAGCTTAATATTCTATGCATCTATACTAATAGTTTCTTTCTTTATTTTTATATTGAATTTACTGGGTGACATTGGCTAATAAAATTACATAGACTTCAGGAATATAATTCTGTAATATCTCATCTATATATTGTATTGTGTGTTTACGACCCCAAGTCAAGTTTCCTTCTATCACCATTTATCCCCCCTTTACCCTCGTCTACCCTCTCATCCTCGTTTCCTCTACTAATAGTTTCTTTCTTTATTTTTATATTGAATTTACTGGGTGACATTGGCTAATAAAATTACATAGACTTCAGGAATATAATTCTGTAATATCTCATCTATATATTGTATTGTGTGTTTACGACCCCAAGTCAAGTCTCCTTCTATCACCATTTATCCCCCCTTTACCCTCGTCTACCCCCTCATCCTCGTTCCCTCTGGCAATCACCATACTGTTGTCTCTGTCCGCGAGTCTTTCTTTTTTTTTCTTTGCTTAATCCCTTCTCACTGAGCCCCCAATACCCTCCCCTCTGACAGCCATCAGTCTGTTCTCTGTACCCATGAGTCTTTCTCCACTTTGTTTATTTTGCTCTTAAAATGGATGGATAACTTTAAATTAGATCAAACTTTCTCAGAGAAAAAAGAAATACAGAGGAAGCTTTTCTCTTGGCAAATTAAAGAAATTTGGGGGGCACCTAATTCTTTAGGAAGCTGAAGCTATATAGAGAGCTTAATATTCTATGCATCTATACTAATAGTTTCTTTCTTTATTTTTATATTGAATTTACTGGGTGACATTGGCTAATAAAATTACATAGACTTCAGGAATATAATTCTGTAATATCTCATCTATATATTGTATTGTGTGTTTACGACCCCAAGTCAAGTCTCCTTCTATCACCATTTATCCCCCCTTTACCCTCGTCTACCCCCTCATCCTCGTTCCCTCTGGCAATCACCATACTGTTGTCTCTGTCCGCGAGTCTTTCTTTTTTTTTCTTTGCTTAATCCCTTCTCACTGAGCCCCCAATACCCTCCCCTCTGACAGCCATCAGTCTGTTCTCTGTACCCATGAGTCTTTCTCCACTTTGTTTATTTTGCTCATTAGATTCCACATATAAGTGAAATCATATGGTACTAGCAGAATGGCTATCATCAATAAATCCACAAACAACAACTGTTGGTGAGGATGTGGAGAAAAGGAACCCTCGTGCACTGTTGGTAGGAATGCAGATTGGTGCAGCCACTGTGGAAAGCAGCATGAAGTTTCCTCAAAAAATTAAAATGAAACTGCCTATGACCCAGCAAGTCTACTTCTGGGAGTATATCAAAAGAAATCCGAAACACTAATTTGAAAGAATATATGCACCCCTATTTTCATTGCAGTGTTGTCTACAGTAGCCAAGATTTAGAAGCAGCCCAAGTGCCCATTAGTAGGGGAGTGGATAAAATAGCTGTGGTACATTTACACAATGGAATACTACTCAGCCATAAGAAAAGAAGGAAAGTTTACCTTTTGCGACAGCAGGTTGGACCTGGAGAGTATTATGCTAAGTGAAATAAGCCAGTCAAAGATTTACTAATAGTTTCAATAGGGAAACCCAATCGTCATTTCTGTATACTTTTTCAAATCTCAATATTAAGAATATATTTTTCCATTATTAAATAATTTTCTCTACCATATTTGCTAATTTCTACACTTCATTCTTAAATTCTTGCCACCAATAGGTATTTTATAAAAATAAACTTGACAGATATTCTCAGCCTGAAAAAAAAAAAGAGTTAATAGAATGGCGCAGATTAAGAACTTTTCTATTTTTAACAGCGGAATTAGAACTGTGTAACATTACATTACCTGCATCTTAAGGTGAGGTCTTAGAGGTAGAAGCTGGTGCTTCTGAGGAGGGTGTCCTTGTGGGGTGGCCAGACAGAAGGATCTGGAAGTACAGACTGTAATAGCAGATTAATCACATTGCCCTCTTGGTCCCTGGCAACAGTAACCAACTATAAACACATTCAGCAGTGTAGGCAGCTTTCCCGTTGGCTCCAGAGAGGCCTTCTCTGAAATATGCACCTTTCAGTATCAGAAAGCATTACCTTAGCTAAAGCAGCCAGGAGCCAATAGCAACAGTATTAAATGCACATGCAGCTCAATATTTGACTTTGCATTGGAATTATCGCCTCTACCAGACACTTCCGAGGACTTAGAGAGCTGTGCCCTGCACCAGTGCTGTGTGTGAGTTGGCTAGTAAGAGCCAATTTTCAGGAATTTTACCAGCCCATTGTTAAACACTGTCAATATTACAAATTAAATTTTTTAACTTTCTGAAATCGAAGGTAGTAAATATTCAAAATGCATCACGTCTTAATTATTTTTCTGCACTTACTATGTAATGGGGTACTTCTGGACATTAATTCCCAACTCCAGACCCAGTCATAATCATGTTAGTAGCTTGAAATCGGCCACGGTGGGAATATTAATATCAAGGAAATCAACTTGTACTTACAAACAAGAAATTGACTTATTGTTTTGTTGCTTTTCTATTTTAGACTTGGAGTTGACATGTTAGAGAAGATGTTAATAATGTAGATTAAAATGAAAAGTGTGCTGTGTCTGTAGCTATTGCATTATGGATTACACAAACTGTTAAGGAAACATTCCTCTGGAATTCAAAATTATTTTGATTTATTAGGACCATTTACTGTTTTTTTTGTTTGACTAATTTCACCATAATCATTTATGAAAAAATTATATCATTTAAGTTTAATTTTAATATGAAGTTGATTTGAATGACTTTCAGGATTTTTGCATATAATATAGAATTAAACAATGTTCCAATCCCTGCAATTATGCAAAAAGCTGGAAAAAAATCATTGCAATCAGTAGTTCTGAAGTGGAAATAAGTTTTAGTTTATTGAAAATACTTTTTGAGACTGAGTAATAGTTTAAACCACATATCAGATTTAATAATACATTTATTGGGAAAGTGTTAGTGGCTTGGGATGCAACTGCTTTCATGAAATCACGGTTGAAGTCCAACCATACGTTGGCTTTGGATAAAACATTTTGTCAAAAAACAGCAAAAGCCTTCTGTGAGAGTCAGTTGTCTATATGAAATTGACAA